ATGCAGCAGTCACTCCCATCTCCTTCACAAAAGTTAAAAGACTTGACAGGGTGGACCTGCCAACTGGAGAGCCTGGCATGGTGGGACCCACGAGGTGGCCATGATCCTTATCGGCTACACCCGGGCACAGCTGTCCTGATCCCCGTGACAGCAACAAGGCCTGGGAGAGCAAGATGCTAATTGTTTGAACTGTGAGTCACCAGAACCACCCACACCCGTCTGATTGTTGAGCATGTTTCGGCCAAATCAAGTCTGATTTGTTCACTCAGTTGATTTCGGACCTGCTGAAATGGGTTCTCCCATTCCATCTAATTTTCTCTGAGCAGTTCCTACCTGAGCAAGCGCTGATCACCTGTTCACACACACCCAGAGCTCTCTGGGCCTCCAAAGAGCAGACCACGGCCTTCAGTTCTCTTACCGTGGAGGCCCCTCTGCCAGAACATTCTGCGGGGCATGGGCGGGCAGTTGCCTGTAGATATGAAACCCTGCCCCCTCAGAGTGCCTCTCCCAGCTCCACCGTGACATCCTCAAACGACTCCAGCAAGAGCCTGAGAGAACATCTTGATTTACATTCACCCGCTGCATGGGAGGGGACGCAGATGCGGGTCTCCTCCTGACCCTGGGCCCTGCAGGGGGTGTTAAACGACTCCAGCAAGAGCCTGAGAGAACATCTTGATTTACATTCACCTGCTGCATGGGAGGGGACGCAGATGCGGGTCTCCTCCTGACCCTGGGCCCTGCAGGGGGTGTTGGGTGACTCTGCCCTCGCACGTCCAGCATCTGCATGGGTCCTCTGACTGCCTTCCAGGTGGACAGAAGCACCCAGTCCCGCTTACCCACCTAGTAACAACATCCCTGGCGTGGGCCCTCGGGGTGGGGACCCACCTCGTGTTCGGACATGCTGGTCGAGCACTGGACACCAGTGTCCACAGGGTTCCGCTCCACGAACTGCCCAGCCAGCTCGGGGTCGGGCGGGATGTCGATGTTGAGCTCGGCCTGGCGGTCGGAGAAGTCGCATGGCTTCCCGAACTCACTGCGCTTCTTGACATACACATACACGATCTCCATGGCGCTGCCTGTGGGGGACAGAGCGGGGTGTGGGCAGAGGGCCCGCCAGGCCACCTCCCTGCTCCACGGGTCTCACCAGGGATGACTCCAAGTTCTCAGTCTGGCTGGGGGGAAATCCCAGATGTGTCTGGAAGCTGCAGCTGCATTTAAAAAAATCATCTGGAATGGAGGAATTGGTAAAGGGCCACGAAAATCAACTAGACTGGGTGCTGAGTATATGCTAATCACTGTCTTGTTTGGTTCCCACAATCACCCTCTGAAGTGGGAAATAAAATCACCATTTTACTCTGAAGGAGCTTGATCCTCTGAGTGACGTGCCCAGGGTCACAGAGCTAGTAAGGGGTCCAGCTTGTCTGCCTGACTCCAAAGCCCTTACCCACCAAATGACACAGTTGTTACTGAATCAATATATATATTTTTTGGTGGCTGCCTGTTTTGGGGATCAAACCCCGGATGCTGGTGTTATCAGCGCCACACTCTAACCAACTGAGCTAACTGGCCAGCCCCCTCTGAATCAACGTTTATTGGAAGGCAGGAAGAAATACGGATAGTGATTATGTTGCACTCAATTCCCTGCCAGGTTTCCCTGACTCTCGCCCACCACGCCACCTCCCCCTCCAATCAATGATTTCCCCAACACACACTGGACCTGAATCACACAGCACACAGATTTGAGAGTCCTAGACCCACCCCCGCCCCAACTCAACCACCCAACTGTTCACCCAATTATCCAAAAGCCTTGTCTATTCCCAGAGTTCTAGTTTCCCAGACTCCCTCTGCCACCAGTCTCTGTAGATCCCACTGGGAATCTCTTCCCTCCACATCCTCAACAGGCGAAGCAATTCTGCTTTTGGGAAACCCGCCTATTTGTCCTCCTGGTCAGGGAAGTGGAAAGTAGGCCTGGCTGGGCCCTGACTTCAAGCACTGGCCCTGTCCCACCATCTGTGTGACCTCGGCTGGGCCTCTCAGTCTTTTGGAGACCTGACACACCCACTGGACGCCGAGAAGGTGAAGTTAAGAGGGCTCCAGCAGTTGCAGCCTGTGTTCAAACGCAGTACAGGAAAGGGCTTTCCCACTGATGCTTAGTGGAAGTCTTAACTTTCCAGCAGTTCATACAAATTACCTTTCACTCACCCCAATAGAGACCTTGACCCCTCTGAACCCCCATTCCGTCAATACACTCTATGGAGTCTGAGGGCTTGCTCATGACTTAAGTGGCTGTAACATTTACACAATGTTACAAATGTCTGTAACATTACGCAATGGCACTTAGCAGAGCTGTCCACTTGCTGGCCACCGCAACTCTCGGAAACTGTGACATGGATGGCAAGTTCCCAAGGACTCAGATTGTGGGTCTGTATAAGGCTCCTGGGGCTGCACAGAGCCCTAGAGAAAAAGCTGTTGGATGAGAGGCGGGGGAGGCACGGGAAGATAAATTGTCTAAGAACTTGTTGTAGCAGGATAAACAACCAAAGGCTTTCCAAAACCCAAGAGATTAGGTTCTTGCCTGTGAGCAGGTGTCGCTATCTTTGAATGAAATAGGGCCCTGGTGGGAAAATGATTGGAAGGCGTGTCCCCTGCTTTAAATAAAACCCCTAGACAAATATCCAAACTTAGGAAACAGATGGAAAATATTATGCAACAGAAATGCTGGAGTAAACATTCACTTTACCAAGCAACCCTGTACTGGGGTTTTGGCAAAAGAATGCCCTCCGAAGCACCTCAACATGGCTCTATCTTTTGAAAAAATTTAATTACATAAACTTTTCTGGGAAAGCACAGATTTTATGAATGCCAAACTGCATGCTTTATCTTCATTCCAATTATAGTTCTTACTCTTTCACTTATTCATTCTATGAACAGTTACTAAACCAACTATGAGTAATCAAGACAGTGTGGTACTGGCATAAGGACAGATCGATGGAATGGAACTGACAGTTCATAAAGAAACCCTTTATTTATAGTCAACTGATTTTTGACAAAGGCACCAAGGCAGCGCAATGGGGAAAGGATGGTCTTTTCAGCAAATGGTGCTGGGACAGTCACATGCAGAAGAATGACCATAGACCCCTACCTCACACCATATACACAAATTAACTCAAAATGGATCACAGGCCTAAATATAAGAGCTAAAAGTATAAAACTTAGAACATAGGAGGAAACCTTTGTGACCCTAATTAGGCAAAGATTTCTTAGATATAGCATGAGAAGCATGATCCATAAAAGAAGAGTAACTGATAAACTGAACTTCATTAAAATGAAAAACTTTTGCCCATCAAAAGACAACATAGTGGTTGGATGGTTAACTAAGTTGGTTAGAGTGTGGCGTTTACAATACCAAGGTCCAGGGTTCAATCCCTATACTGGCCAGATGCAAAGAAAAAAAAAAGAAAGAAAGAAAGAAAAGAAAGAAAGAGAAAGAAAGAAAGAAAGAGAGAGAGAGAGAGAGAGAGAGAGAGAGAGAGAGAGAG